GCCCCCCTTGCGGGCGGGGTACCGGTCGTCTTTGGGGGGGCAGGAGCAGCAGAGCAGGGCCCCCCCCAGCAGCAGGAGCGCGGAGGCCGCCCAACCCACGTAGAGCGAAGTGCCCAACTCCCGCTTCTGCGCGTCCAGCACCAAAGGGTTGTAGAAATCCCGGATGATGGTGTTGGCCGACCAGGAGACGGGGATGAGAGTCATGACGCCGGAGAGAAGGAAGATGACGCCGGAGACGATGGTGATCTTGGCTTTGGTGCTCTCATCCTCCACGCAGCGGGTGCACTGGGCGCCGACGATGGCCACCATTAAACCCAGGACGGCCAAGACGATGGCCACCACCAGGAGGGCGCGGGCGGCTTGCAGGTCCTGCGGCAGGGCCAGCATGGAGTCGTAGACCTTGCACTGCATCTGCCCCGTGCTCTGCACCACGCAGTTCATCCACAGCCCAAAACACCCTGTATCCATCCCGGTGGGCTTCTGCCACCCCATGGCACCCCTAAACCCCCTGTATCATGCCAGGTGGGTTACTGCTGCCACCCCATGGCACCCCAAAACACCCTGTATCCATCCCGGTGGGCTTCTGCCACCCCATGGCACCCCTAAACCCCCTGTATCATGCCAGGTGGGTTACTGCTGCCACCCCATGGCACCCCAAAACACCCTGTATCCATCCCGGTGGGCTTCTGCCACCCCATGGCACCCCTAAACCCCCTGTATCATGCCAGGTGGGTTACTGCTGCCACCCCATGGCACCCCAAAACACCCTGTATCCATCCCGGTGGGCTTCTGCCACCCCATGGCACCCCTAAACCCCCTGTATCATGCCAGGTGGGTTACTGCTGCCACCCCATGGCACCCCAAAACACCCTGTATCCATCCCGGTGGGCTTCTGCCACCCCATGGCACCCCTAAACCCCCTGTATCATGCCAGGTGGGTTACTGCTGCCACCCCATGGCACCCCAAAACACCCTGTATCCATCCCGGTGGGCTTCTGCCACCCCATGGCACCCCTAAACCCCCTGTATCATGCCAGGTGGGTTACTGCTGCCACCCCATGGCACCCCAAAACACCCTGTATCCATCCCGGTGGGCTTCTGCCACCCCATGGCACCCCTAAACCCCCTGTATCATGCCAGGTGGGTTACTGCTGCCACCCCATGGCACCCCAAAACACCCTGTATCCATCCCGGTGGGCTTCTGCCACCCCATGGCACCCCTAAACCCCCTGTATCATGCCAGGTGGGTTACTGCTGCCACCCCATGGCACCCCAAAACACCCTGTATCCATCCCGGTGGGCTTCTGCCACCCCATGGCACCCCTAAACCCCCTGTATCATGCCAGGTGGGTTACTGCTGCCACCCCATGGCACCCCAAAACACCCTGTATCCATCCCGGTGGGCTTCTGCCACCCCATGGCACCCCTAAACCCCCTGTATCATGCCAGGTGGGTTACTGCTGCCACCCCATGGCACCCCAAAACACCCTGTATCCATCCCGGTGGGCTTCTGCCACCCCATGGCACCCCTAAACCCCCTGTATCATGCCAGGTGGGTTACTGCTGCCACCCCATGGCACCCCAAAACACCCTGTATCCATCCCGGTGGGCTTCTGCCACCCCATGGCACCCCTAAACCCCCTGTATCATGCCAGGTGGGTTACTGCTGCCACCCCATGGCACCCCAAAACACCCTATATCTGCCCAGGTGGGCTTCTGTCACCCCTGTGGCATCCCAAAACCCCCTGTGTCCATCTGGGTGGGCCTCTGCCACCCCACAGCACCCCTAACCCCCCTGTATTCATCCGGGTGGACTTCAGCCACCTCATGGCACCCCAAAACACTGTGTGTGGCTGGGTGGGCTTCTGGCACCCCATTGTACCCTGATCACTCCGCCAAGGGCACCCCAAACCCCCTCCAGCTGGCAAAACTGGTGGCTGTGATGGTGCCCAGAGGTGACCCCGTACGTGCTGCCAGGGGGGAGCCCACGCAAGCAGCACCCCAGGGCCTCGTACCCTTGTGGCTGGGGGGGGCTGGGGGGGCGCGGCCCCCGGGGGACCCCTCGGGCTGCCCATGGTGCCCGTGCTGCCGGCAGGTGACGGTGGGTGCCGACAGTGCACACCTTGAGCAGGGCTGTGCCAGCACTCCGGGGTGCGCACAGGCGCACAGGTGTACACACACACACAAACTCACACCCCCTCTGCTGGCAGGGCCACTGGGAC